ATAGCCTAGTGCTTCTAATTTTATAATTTTGCATTAAAATTTTATAAGACGCTTAAAGGAATGTTTTCCGTAAAACCTTTAACTATTTTTCACAGTGTTGGACGCTCACTATGGGTGCGAAGCGCGAAGCGCTCAACAAAGGAGCTGTATGCATACATACATACAAAATCACATCACAGTAAAAACAGTGTCCAATTTTTGAGAAAAGCGGGGAAACTTTGAGAAACTCTCATAATTTGGGAAAAACTCCTCAGATTTTGAGGAAGTCTAATAAGGAGGAGGCTAACAACTTCCTAATGTTACGCACACAGAAGTCCGGTTCTAGTTACAAAAAATGTCCTTGGACATTTAGAGTGTAGTGAGTTTTCCATTTTTTCTCAAAAAATCATTAATTGTTTTTACCGTGATATCTACAGAGTTGAACAGTTGCAAGTTTTGAACTTGCAGTTGCACTCCCAATTGTTAACACGTTCCACGTGACCACACGTATGGCCACAATAGCATGTAAAAGGGGACCCCCTCGGACTCAACGAATTAAGCAGCACATGGGTTATCAGTGAAGTTATCCTCTGTACCACATGCACACCAGGGCTATCCCCTATTCGGTCGTGACCGTAAGGCGCCGTGGTCAGCGACGAGGAGCAAACCAGCCGGCATGCGGTAGAGTTATAACTATACAAAAGAGTTCGCGGGGTCAATTAGCCACCGTGTATTCAATTTGCAAGCGAATATATTGGCTCAAAATATGCATGCAGGTTGGGTAGGACCAGCAGGAAGGAGCACTGCCCTCCCTGTCCTCACCCCTGTCGACACAAATTAAGCCGTAACTTATTTGGGAAGGCGTAGCAGTGTAGCAGCTTTATAAACCAACACTAAAACATTTTATCGTAACGTTAGATTGTGATTGTGAAAAATATCCTCATAAATTTACGATGTATTTTGTAATTCATCTTTATAAAATATGTTGTCAATTTATGACACCCAATCTTGCTTGTCGATGAATTCCAATAAGTCGATACATAGTGTTTCTAATTTTAAAATTTTGAATTGACATTTAAGACACACTTTATGGAAAATTATCCCGTAAAATCTACAACTATTTCTCACAGTGGATGACAACTAACTTAACTTGCTACAAGAAGGACAGATTCAGCAGGAGATCGAAGGACATTGTCGTCCCGATACAAGAATAATTGTGCTGTTTTGAAGTTAAATTACGTTGTAGTGTACCGGGTGTTTCTTTGCACGCGCTGGTGTAGGCGGATTTGCCTATTCCCTCTGTACCCCCCCCCCCCTGTGAGTCGGCAAGCCTGCCCACGCCCACACCGGCGGGTGTACAAACCAACTAGGAACAAAAATGTCATTAGATACGAAAACTGGTTTCAGAACGACATTTTGGATCGTTTTGGATGGACCCATTTACAATTTTACAGAATGAAACAGGGCCCCCACTAAAAGCATAACACACAATCGCACCCGTTTCAGTTCGTCGACCAGTGCGTCTTATTTCACCGGGTAAATTTCGACGTTAATTTTACCATTTTCGACATCGTGCCGATAAATGCTATTTCTCATTGTGCACACCGAACGCGACTCTGTGGCTCTGTCCGAATCCAGTCGCTCGATCGGTCACCACTCACACAGGTAGCATACATTTCAATGACACACATCTGTCTCTCGCACCGAGCGATCGAGCGGCTCGCGAGTGACAATCGAGCCATCTTTTGTCTGCATTCAGACACACTCCCACACCCCCGGGACCTGAGAGCCCTTACCGTCGCTGTGCTGCGCGGGCGCCGCCGCGGGCGCGGGGCCGCAGCCCGGCCGCTCCAGCTCCAGCAGCCGCGTCACGGAGAAGCGCCTGGAGTTGTCCGTGCACGCGGCCGGCGGGGGCTCGTAGTGCTGCGCGGGGTGCGCGGGGTGCGCGGGGTGCGCGGGGTGCGCGGGCTCCAGGGCGGACGGGTACCCCATCATGGCACTGGGCAGCTCGGCAGCATCCTCGGGGCGGGTGGAGCCGCGCGGCAGGCCTGCCCCCGGGACCCGGGGCACCACGGGCGGCGCCGGGCACTGCGTCACACTGCGGCGGGGAGGTCAGCGTCGTCGAGCTCACGAGGAGGATGCCGTGGAGCACGGCGCCGGGTGGCGTGCGCGGCAGGGCGGCCGCGGAGGTGCACTTGTCGGCGCTGGACGGAGAGCGCTGCGCCTCGGGTGGCTGTCGACGTCGGACTGGGGGCGAAGGAGCGGAGAGCGGGGCACGGCGGCGGTGCGTTCCCACAGACCCGCCCCACCACACCCTGCACCGCCATCCCCCGCCACACCCCTGTGTCCCAGGGGAGGAGCCTTGGGCGTGCAGGAGGCAGAGGCGACGAGCGCGGAGGGGGCGCCGGGTAGGCGGAAGCCCCCGTCACCGCCCCTCTCCGAGCCCCTCTCGCACCCGCCGAGCTCTTCTCACTGTCGCGGTCCGCTGCAGCCGCCTGCCAGGTGAGGGCTAGGCCGCCCGCCGCACCGCCGTGCGCCGTCCAGGTGAGGACTGCCTACCCACTCGGCGCCCGCACCTTCCGGGCTCCGGGCACCGACCGCAGCTTTGGTGTTCGTCTGGAGGCCGCCGTCGTCGAGGGTATCGGCGGCGGCGGCCCTCGACCCTTGCCGACGGCGGCCACCCTGCTGGCGTTCGCGCTGCTCGCCCCGGCTCTGCCTGGCCGCCTCCCAGCCCGACAGGCCCCGCCCCCAGGGGGGGCCCATGCCGCCCCGCC